GTGGCCGATTTCACGGAAGCGAAATCACAATTTTCCAAAAATTCAATCTGTGTATTGGTAAACCCCACAAACAGTGGGTTAGTATGAACATCAAATTATTATTATTATTAAAAAGGGAGTTCTACAATCATAATTATATGGTTTAGATGGGGTTTGCAGTGTGTTTAGAGGTTTGCATTTGCAAGTATTTTTTCATAAAAAATCTAAATTTTAACCAAAAAGTAGTTATGAATGTATTTAATTTTCTTACTGATATACCAAGTCAGTCAATCACAATTGAATTGTTTGATTTTCTACAGTGTGTCTTCGGAGGTTTGTGGGATTTAGCAATACCACTTAATCCTACCATAATCACCCTACCCTCACAATCACACGCCATTTTAATTCTTAGCATAATTGCCATACATAACTATATATAATTCTAAGCCTGTAGTAGGCACTTGGATTTAGTTAGTGATGAGTAAAAACCAAGTATGTAACTAAATTAGTTGCTTAAATAAATGTATTCCTAATGATTCAGTTTACTAAAAGCAATACTTCTTTGAATAAACTCTAAGCAGACAATTTATTGCTAAGTTTGCGAGAAAGTAAAGACTCGCCCTTTTCCCATACATGAACTTGTGATTCAAACACACAATTGATCCACATGCTTTAACTACTGTTTATTTGCATTGTTTATAACATGTAAAATTAATTCATTTGATATTTAACAAAAGTGAAGTTTGTGGTTATCTATGAGTTACATATTTTGGTAGTTGAAGTACTGTATGTCATTCCTCTACTTTGTTAGTGAAATAACGTTTTTAAAACTTTTATTTCTACTATCGGCCATTGTTTTTCGATTATCTCTCAAAACATTATTTGCATCTGCTGTAATTGTTAAAAAACAATTGCTTTTAAAGAAATTTAAAAAAAATCACATATTGATCTCAGTTCAAAGGAAAAAATAAAACTTATTTCTAAATTTACAATTTTCACCTATAAACCTCTTAATTTCATAAAAGAGTGGGTTCTCTTCCAAACAAATACATCCTGTCTAATATTGTGTGTTTAGATTAGATCTTTTGCTTTAACTTTGGAAATTGAGATCATTTTAGATACTATTTCTGTATAAACTAAATTTTTTTTATTCATATTACTGTAAACCTAATGGGTTTTGATAAATTTACTCTGCACTACGGAATTTCAAATAAAAAAAAAAAGAAAATTTAAACAGACCACAGATTAAAAATAAGTAAAGCGTAACATATTTTTAATCTATGTTAAGGCATAACTATTTTTACATAGGCCTAATGAAATTTAGTAAATCAAATTATTATTTGTGGCTTTTATTTATTAAATCAATTAAGAACATAATCTCAAAACAAAATTTAATGACAAGAAAGATCGACATTTCGGGTCCATCATGGAACCATTCTCAAGATCAAGAAAATTGAAAAAACTAAAAACAAAAATACCAAGCAGTGACAGGAAGTAAGTAATTAATTTACATATCAATAGGGCCTACTGTGTGGAGCCACAGTGGAGCTAAGCAATAGTTAGCCCTTCTTGCAGATTAACTAGATAAACAGTTTGGCTTTAACTGAATCAGTTTGTTTGTTAAGTGTAGGTTTCAGTTCTTTGATCCAAAGCATTTCTTTAATTAAGCAATCAAACTTGGATTTGCACTTAGATAAAACCTTGAAATAATTAACAGTTTCAGTAGCACTAATATAATGATCTTTTCAGTTTCAGTAGTACTAATATAATGATCTTTTAAATGTTGTCCTATGTTACCTTAACTGTGCATAATCATTTCTTATTTAAAATAGAATTATTTAATCAATCAGTAACTTGTAATTAATTAATTAATAAGTAACAATGAAATTAATTATTTTCTTTAAAAAGATGCTACCCAAGGCGAGACTTTTTTTATACCTTGTTTGACGAACTCGCTGACTATTGTACATTTTACTGTACTTTATATATGTATTCCTACTAAAAAGTTTCTAATACTGATTTAACAGCATCCTTTTTAACGCATGCAATGTTACTATTTTTTTAAAGTTGCTTTGTAAGTTACAGTATTGTAACAATTTATTGCCATTATTATTATTATTATTATTATTATTATTATTATTATTATTATTATTATTATTATTATTATTATTATTATTGTCATTTCATAACACAAATGAAATAACAAATAAACAAATTAAGGTTCCCGTAAAATAAGGTGTAACTGTAGTTTCTGATTACATAACTAAGTAAACAAACCAAAACTTTAATATAATGAAAGAACTCTGTATTTATTCCATAAAATAGATGATTATTCCCAAATAAACAAGAGATAGATAACACCTGGACTTTTAGACATGTTGTTTATATGGCATTTCAAAACAAAATTTATTGGCTACAGCATAGATTCTCAACCAATAAAAAATCTTTTTAAAAAAAAAAATTGACCAATTGAATTGTACTTAGTTGTCACACAATCACAGTGTATTAAATTACAAAATTACATACATCCCAAACCACATCAGGACCCCCCTCCAAATTTGACAGGTCGTCTGAATAAAAAAATAAAAATGTGACATGCCTGTCACAGTCTTGAGGGTGTCATTTCTGGCCATCCAGAGGTTCCAATTCTTAAAAAAAAAAGAAAAGATATTTAATACTTGGACTTGTTTTCAATATAAACATTTTGTGTTTTTTTCCGTTTTAAAATGTTTGTGCTCGTTAGCAATTTAGATTAATTGTTGATGTTATCCATGACAGTAATACGTACTGCGAAATGCTAGGCCTCTGAAAGTCCCCATAGTTGGTAGTCGCCACGTTATTGGAAATTTTTATTTCAAATTTCACGAAAAATGGTTTATAACATTCCCTGCAAGTTCGTCGTTCAAAACTGGTGCCGAATTAATGTTTTAGAGCCTCCCATCAGAGCCATTAATAATAATAATAATATTAATAATTGACCACAAATATAGTAATAATATCTAATAATATTAATAATTTTAAAAAATACTTAGACCTACTCCCAGAACTACTCATAGGAGCTAAAAACTAATTTATTTTAGTTCTCAAATATGCATATTCTTTATGTTGATTTATTAATTAAATTTTTGCTACAGGGTATTTTACAGCATTTATTTTTTTATTTTTTTTTCTTGAATTTTATAATTGAGGGCCATTTTTTATTTCTTGATTCAATTCTTGCTTATACAGTATTTAAATATTTGAAGATTAAAAAAATATATATATCATTTCTATTACCGAAATTTTCATTGGGGCCATTTTTACCTACCTGTCATATGGGGCCATTTTTACCGGGGCCATTTTTTCCGGGCCATTTTTTCTGGGGCCATTTTCCGGGGCCATTCTTACCATGTTCTTACCTACATTCGTTTCACCCCAAGGATTATGACGTAACCGGAGCTGACATTTTATATGAAACGATGGCACAGACCCATAGAGTCTGTGGTTATGGTTTGATGGCTGTATGTTGATATAATTCACTTATATCAACAGTTCTTCCCTTTAAAATCCTATAGATTGCCTCTTTTATCCATGTAACATTACTTTTTAAATGTATGGTTGGATTACACTGTAAGATAAATTTAGTTTTATTCCATAAGCTTCCTTCCTTAATTACAACATCCAAGATAATTAATTATAGTGGATACAGATATTTTAAAATGAAATATAATACAAGTGAGTTTTTAATGTAATAATTACAATACTGGAAATGAATACGTCACGAAGGACTCTTGAACAGTATCATCCAGATATAGAATGTACGTGCGTTTATGGCATTTACCATAATTAGATATTTTAGATAAAAGTTTATAAACCAACATTTATACATCACATATATTAATTACCGGTATCTCGTGTTAATATTTTTTTTCTTTTCTTTTTTATAGCTTCCAATAAGACCAAATAGAAGAAATTACTTGTTTAGCGTCGCATCACAACACAATTTTAGATAGGGAGGGGTGGCTTTTTTCCCTTTGTTTTTTTAATTATACAATATCACTAATCAAATTTAATGTGTTAAAATTAATAATTTTCAATAGGTTTGTGAAATCATTGTTATAATTCACTTAAAATAGGTCTATACTTAATTTGATTAGAATTTCCTGGACAATTTCTATTTTTATAAAAAAAAAAAAAAAAAAAAAAAAAAAAAAAAAAAAAAAAAAAAAAAAAAAAAAAAAAAAAAAAAAAAAAAAAAAAAAAAAAAAATGTCT